GAAAATGAATATGATAACTTGTCAGATGCATGCGAGTTTAGAGGATTTCCAAGATAGGAAAATGAAAACCCACAGTGAACAACCTCCAACAAGGACAACAAGCATCATGCAGTCAACCGAAGAGAGGATGACCAAAGAGGACATCAGAAAAAGCTCATGCAGATGGAAAACAGCATCACACTTCAACAGAGGCTTTGTAGAAACCCAGGAACCTCAAAATGAAGCTGAGATGTATTGACATAAGGTACAATGTAATCTTGAAGATCCAACTTCATGTGCATTAGCAGTAAAATCTACTGCATAATCAGAATGGCTGGAAGTGTACACGTAGGCTTCTGTGGCTCAAATTCATGACTTCTAGGCAGTCCGGGTGACGCCTTGTCGGTTGAGAGTACGACATTTCGCCTGTCATCTCCCAGGCTTCTTCAGGGTATGTTATAGTGACGACACCCATCAATTGTAGTTTCTTATCAAGTGTTAACTCTGGTTCCTATTTGTAAATAACATCAAATTAATTGCAACTAAATGCATTTTGTTATGTATTTGTTTGGAAATTATTTTTTCAAGTGTAATACCATCTAAAGTAGCAGACTGTGAAGCCTGTTTATCAAGACCTGAAACTTCAATTCATGAAAGTCCAGCTGACAAGAAAAGAAGAATAGAGATAGAAAACCTTGAAAGGGCAATATCTACTAGTCTCGAAACATATGCCAAGTATAATTCATCTTGTGTTTTCAACAGTTTACATGAACTGAAGATATTGCCAGAATTTAACCCAGAGTGGACAGTGTTAATTAGGAACTCCCCGATTTGATTTATACTGGTAAAAGAACCACATCCCCAAGAAATATGATGAAGGTTGTTGAGAAATTGTGTGTTTTAGTCCATTATAGGAGTGCACTAGTTACTAAAGTAAATAAAAAAATATTACCAACCGAAGTTGGTATAACAAATAATTTACAAAACCTTGTAAATGAATGCCACTCAAGTTTTGGTGATGAATTGAGCATTACTCATAAACTCCAATGATTTGACTGCCTTGGCATTGCAAATATTTAGCTCGATGAAAGGAATTTTGCCAACAAAAAGCATGATATTGTTATATTTAAAAGAGCAAGCGAGTCTTCTGAATGTCAACAGAAGGGTGTTTGGGAGTTCTTAGTTTTCTGTAATTAGCTGAAATAATTTCTCAGCACACATATCAGTTTTTGAGATGATCTAATTCCATTACATTGCCCTACAACTTAACAATGAAGTCACTAACCATAATATTTCAACAAGCCACAGGTTGAATACGATTTTTCGAGGTTACTGAAGTAGTATATATGTGGTAAATTTTCAAATGTAAACCATGTTGCAAAGTTCTTCTTATACACTTGCTACTGAATACACATATTATCTTTTTACTCACAACATTTCGGAGTTTAGATATTTATGTGAATTTGTATGTTGTTGGTACATATGTACTGAATGTATGTATCTCAATACTGGTTTGTTTATAGTGTGTTGTATGTTTGTAAAAATGTATAAGATGATGTTACTATATAACAATGAATGTAATATGTGTAATTGCTGTATTTATGGTTCATTTACGTAATTTAGGTCGGGCGATGAATAATGTTGTATATAATTTTAATTGACAATCATACTAATGTACAGCTAGAGCGTTTAAAGTACAAAGAATGTGGATTCTAAGTGTTGATTGGTTTTTACTTTGCAAGTTCTACAAGTGGTAAGAGTATTGAATATCAAATTGTCATGTAGATGATAATGTAGATGTTTGAATAAGTATCTAAGAATTGTATTGAAGAATGGTGGATATAAAGATGATGAGTTTAGTACTATCTATTGAGAATTTTTTATTGAATGGATTGTAATTGTTTGGGTTTTGTCTAAAGATGGAGTGAATCAAACTCCAAAACATTGTAAGTAAACAAAAGATAAGATGTGTATTGAATAAAATATATTTGAATAAAAAGAATTAGTTATCTACAATTGTTAATGAAGCTATATATACCAATTAATTCAAGTGGTAAATTTTCATTGTTAGAGGACAGTGATAAAACATGTCATTTTACTGACCCATGATATACAATCCACTATGGATTATGGAGGGAGGTTGGTTGGTGCCGCTATTATCAGACAAGAGAAATCCACAAGTACATGTGTGTCAACAGTCAATATTAAAATATTGATATGTGTATTCCAAATGAAGTGATACACCCTCATGCTGTGTTTTTGATTACACAAATATGTGTCGTTCAATGTATGTAAATTGCAATATGATGTTCTTTCAAAATAAATTAACATTTTTAAAATCACTCATCTTTTTGTATTAACTTCTGATTCCAATTTCGATGGCAGTTGTAGGAAAAAATATTTTTTATCATTTTATTTCAAAGAAACATATTTTCCTGAAATAAAAGGAAAATGAAATTAAAATGAAAATAGAAGGAAAATATAAATTCTTTTGATAATCGTTACCAAAATCCTTTGGAGGGAAATGAAATGCAAGGAAGAAATAAATTGTGGAAACACACTTGCTATGAACTTCAAGCACCATAGACAGAATCATCATGGGCCTACAGTGGTGCGAGCTTATTCATCGTGACATCATTGGCAAGATGGTTGCCCGTCACCAGGCCGAATTGTTTCAGAAGGTGCTAGTAACACCCAGCATCATGAAGGCAAATATTTGGAAATGCATATTGTACAAGGGAAGTATTTTGGGTCAAAGAATCCCTGAAGTGCCTCATGTTTCAGAGTCAATCCATTTTAAGTGGTCCAGCACTGGTTGCTTGACTATCCCAGAAAAAATTCATTCTTTGCAAATAAATTCCCTTATAACTTGCTAGCTCAAAAGCATTTTTTTTAAATCTTTATTTCACATGGTTCACTTATGGCAGCCATTTTTTGTTTTAAGCTGCACATCATCTATGACATTTGTAGACATTTATGGTTTGGTAAATTACTCCCCTCCGAGATATTGTAGTGTTTTAAACTAAAATGTATTGGACTTGGTAAACTCTGACCTAGAAAGTGATAATTAATTGTAACTGTTGCACCTGTAACAGGTGATTGAATCTCCTCTAATAATTACATAACGCCTGCGACAAGATCCCCACCCTCTTTCAATTACAATAAGTAAAACTCAATTATAAAGCAGAAACAGATTGTATTAATTGTATTTCTGTTATTCATTAAAATTTATTTTACTTAATGTGAGAATTAGTTGGTGACGTGGACTGCACATAACAATAAGTTAGGGAACAATTTTGGAATGAAAGAAGGATGCGAAGGCGAGAAAATTTCTAACAAATTGTCACGAATGATGCACATACACCAAGTCTACTGTGCCTACTAATTGGATCTACTGTAGATCAGTTTTCAATATTTTCCTCACAATCTAAAAGATTCAATAAATATATCATTGATGAAAAATATTTTCATTTATTATAACAACTTACACAATATAACTTCTTTACTTTACTATATTTTTAATTTAATTTGTTAATTTGGTGATGATGTAGTGTAGAAGTAATAAAAGGAATTATTTCAGCAAGTGTTGAAAGGTTTTAAAAATAAATATCAGTATTACGTAACACTAAACCAAGACCACCTACCCCTATGTAATACAGCCTAATGCTGCCTCAACCCCCGTCTCCCCCTTTCCCCCTAACGTGTGTTTATAAAAGCTGAGAAAATTCATTAAACAGAAGTACACATTGTTATCCACAAGTGAACTTCATCAAGTTCAATAGCTGCACTGTTGATTCTTCAAATTATAAATTCATTGTGTGATGTCGATTTTGTATTTAAATATAATGGTATTGACATCAACATGACCTCTTTTACAGATGAGCTTCTGTGACATTTCAGTAATATTAAAAAATGTGGGAATAAAAGATTTTCTGCATAAATTTTCAATTTTTTTAAAACACACTTAGAATTGGATCTTTAAGGAATAATTTATACTGCAATTTGGTATCATAGAGATTTTTTACGAGTGTAAATTTCAAATTTTTATTTGGTCCCCCAACAGAGATATTACCATATAACAGTTGAACGTTTAGAAAAAAATCCAAAATTCCAATTTTTTATATGGTATGCTGCTCATCATAAATATTTAACAAATATTAACTACACTGCTATGAGCAAGATCACAGGCTGTGACTATCCTTCACTGAAAAATGACTCTCAGACAATTGAAATTTGTCTACTCACATTTGATAGTTTTCGTCACATATATTGTCCAAATAACAATTAAGTAGGTAATTATGACTAATTTGTAGGCCAGAATTCACTGAATTTATTGCGTTTTAGTTTAAAATCCTACAGCTCAGCCTTGAGTAATTTTCAAAACTGTATAGGTCTCCATTCATGAAAAATGGCAGGCGGCTTAAAACCCAAATGGGTATTTGTGAACCATGTAGAATAAATTTAAAAAAAATTGTTTTCAACAATCAAAACTTCAAGGAATTTTTAATACAAAGTATGTTGTTTTTTTTTCGTCCTGAGATTGTGAGAGAGAGTGAAAAATTTATTTAATTATGGACCAATTAAAATGGAATGAATCTTATTGACCAACCTTACTCAATGTGATCGTCACGCAGCTACTGTAGATACCAGAACTATTTGGATAGATCCAAGTTCAAACACATTGCAATTACGATCCATATTGGGAGAGAGAGAGTCATGGATGGTATTGCAGAACTGAAATACACAAGCTGTGACCAAAATATTGCAGATATCTTCACAAACCTACTTGAATGTATGAATTTCAGTGCAGTCAGTTAATTCATCAAATTGTAGAATGATCATCTAGGAGATAATCCCTGGAGGGAGTTCTAGATATAAACTTTCATATGCTGAATGTTAGCATTACTGCTGAGTCACCTTTGGGTGTAACATAACTGTTCATCATGTTGTAACATTGCAGTTCTAGTGAATACCTGATGTTCATTAAACCATGTGGGATGTGCTTTGATTGATTTCCTATATATAACAAGAGCCTATTCCTTTTATTTAAGGAGAATGTGACAAAATGGAAAATACCTCACAAATTAAATATAAAATACATAAGAACATGGCTAATTTTTTTATAGTTGTTCAGATAAACAATACACTTTTCACTCTTTGGTAAAGACTATTGATAATTTCAATGAAATGAAAATGCAGAAAAATGCATACACTCATAAAATAATACTGGAATATAATTATTAACATTGAATACAGGTGTAAGAGACAAGTGAAACAAGAATTCCAGCTCATATCAAAATTTATCCATGGAAAAGATCTTCATAGTTTAACAAAAATTATGTTCACCTTCCTTACAGAATACAGAAATATATAGCATGGTACTATGACCTATTTATAAACACAAAATTATAATATAATTCACAACACTGAAACTTCACAAAGCCCATTAATACAGAGAAAAACAACTTAATATTGAAGACTTCTTTTTGTCTGAATATCATCAAGTATTTGTCTCAATTCTTCATCTTCGAATCGACCCTCCAAGCTGAAAGAAAAGAATATCTTTAAGACGTTTATAACTCACAAGATATTTAAAGGAAGAACTATAAAAATCTAAATACTACTTGGAAAATTATTGCAGAATACTTTCTCCCATACATACAAAAACCGTAATGTTTATAAGTTATGTTGATGTAAGGATTAGTTCATTTTCACAGAACTACTTCTTCAGAACTGAAGATTAACCTCAATAAATTTATCATTTTCCTGGCTACCATTCCAATTTGTTTAAAAATGCCAGGTCACATTTGAAAACATTAATTTCTTTCAGGTTTTCTTCAGAACATTAATTTTTTTTTATTTATTTTGATTACTTTACAGTAAACCCTCATTCTCATGCATTTACTGCTTAAAATAAATTTATTTTAAAAATTTATTAATCACTATCAAAATTTCCAAAGTTCTGCCAATACAGTCCCACATCATGTAGCATTTTTAAGAACATGTTTAAAGTCCTCAGACTGTCTTTTTGGAAGTTTCCAATTTTTGCATTTATGATTGCCTTCTGTAATGCAGTGTGAGGACCAAACATAGCTTTGTAGAAATGTAGATGTTCTTATCTGTATATTATATTTAAAATTTCTCCAAATGATAGAACAAAGATACTTCAATTTTTATAATATTTTAAAATTACCATTACACATAGGTTACATTATAGTGAACAAGATTGTATTGAAAGGTTTTATTATGTTTCTTTGGTAATTAAGTCTGACTGACAAGCATTACATTGATGTGTGTCATAAGATTAACACTGTATCTTATACAGGAAAGCCATAGTGCTTCTGTGCCATTTCGCATAAGATATATTATTCTATGAACCACATTACCTATCGCAAGTCAATGCAACATTTATGTGCAGGGGTGCTTAGCTGCAACTATCCTTGATACAACTGATTTGGGAAATTTACTTAAACTGTATTTATTTGTGAGTATGATCAATAAGTCTTGAAAGATGTTTCGAAAAATTGTAACAATTGCCTTAACATAAGTGAATTTATAAGGATACTGTCTTTAATTTTTAAAAGTATAAAGAAAATGCTTCTCTATACCTGGGGATGTTTATATTAATATAATGTTGTAGAGTCAATCCAATAGATTAGACCACTCCTGTTAACTTCACAACAAAAAATGACACTAATATACCATTTGCAAAATAAACAGTGTAGGCTAGAGCTATGTATGTAACATATTTCTAACAAAACACTGTATATAGTCAATTTTTATTTTTTAAATGCAATAGTAAACCAGGTTGTGGAGCATCAGAATGAGCTTACAAACACAATTTCAAATGTGTGTTTATTTTCCTAATTAGTCAAATAGTTTTTTTGTAAATAACTATTTTTATTTAAAGAGTTTCTTTGATCAATAAGTAAGAAGCCACCATAACCATTCCCTTATTTTCACATGAACACTATCAGGAAAGGTTTCAAGTATGAGTATGCCTGTTTTACGAACACACACAGAGATTAAAAACAGAACAATTCATCCAAAACTTTGAACTTTCATGATTATTTTCCCTACATTTATGTTATAATTATTTTCACTTAATTGAGCCAATTTGAAAATGTTTAATTAACTCATTCTTAGTGTTTTGCATTGATTTAAATGTGTTGTGAATAATGTATATTTCAATTATTTTTAATTAATAGGAAAAATGTCTGAATTAATAGACACTAATGTCTCTGCAAAGGGCTAAGAGCCCTTTCCAGAGAAAAAAATAAAACCAATTATTCACAGGATTGTAATAATAATAATAATAATAATAATAATAATAACAACAACAATAATAACAACAACAACAACAATAATAATAATAATAATAATAATAATAATAATAATAATAAAACAAAACTGTGAGTACCAAGATTCTTGAATCTGAAAATTGGTAGTTTTTGTGATAGAAGATTTGCTATCTTACAAATAGTATGGCTTATATAAGTATAGCCCAAAATTTCAAGTGTTTATTTTACCTAAAATAGGAAGGCAAAACTGTATTAGGGGTGGGAAACATTGAAAATCAAGATAGGGAATATTGAACACAGGAAACATTGAAAAATCACCATATAAAAGTAATTATTACAAAAATACTCAATAATTAAAATGTTTTGCATTCTAATTCTAAAATTTACATTAGCACTTGCATGGAAGGAAACTCTCTTTTAATTGTAATATTGATTGCACATCGTAATCCAGTATTACGAATATGAATTTATTTTACTTGCGACGCTACCTCTAAGAAATGCTATTGTGGACTCCATTTTGAATCTTAAAATGGTATCAGTGAAAATTATAGATTTTGTTCTTCCCACTTCTGGAATCGCCAGAAGGGAAGAGATAATAAGAAGAATCTGAGAAGGGTGTATCATATATCATAGCAGAGCTCTGTTCTCAAACGCGATCGGAGGTCATACACCAACGTAGGATAAAGATTCCTCCTCAGCGAACAAATCTGTCAGCATCAATGAAAAATATCAAAAATATGCACTAGTATTATTTTTCTTTCCCTTGCAGATTTTTAACCGACACTGGAGCCTCCGCATACACGACAATACCTTAATGCTGTTCACGATTACAGGATTACACCTTGATAGAGATTGGTGCCAGGAGGGAAAAAAGGAAAATAATGACACAAAAGGCTCAAACAAGGAAAAACGCCAAAATTAGGCATCAGAAGCTAAAGTACGAGGGAAAAACAAAAATGAAAATCTACTAAAAACACTCCAAAGTACAATGAAGTGATTCCAGTAGTTAAAAGCCATAAAACCATAACAAGAATAAAAAGATATTGGCCAAATTTCCAGCCTCTACTTATAATCTATGCACTACAAATTAATGATTTTGCACTTTTGTGGCTACATTAAATTTCTATTATGGAAAATGACGTTTACAATTGCTATTCTGGAAAATGAAGATTACAATTCCTATACTAGAAAGAAAATACATATTCAATTATTATTCACATTATTCAATTCTGCCCCTGCCAATCAGTTGTTAACGGTTTCATCCAATCGGACGCTTGAACCTCACCATAATGACGTTACTATGGTGAAGTTCAAGTTCCCAATTAGATGAAACTGTCAACAGCCGATATCTGCCTGGGGCAGAGTAGCAAAAATCGAGTATACATTCCATTCCATATGAACTTGATTACACTTTTATTACACATTAATAAAACAAAAATCTGTAAATAGTGATGTAGAAGAATTTTTGAAACGTTTTTCTCAAAGATAATCACACACTGCAATTTGTAGTATTCAGTTCTAAACTTATATTAATTTCATAAATATATTCTTATTATTCATATTCTTGTCATGTCTCTTATTAATTCAAAATGTTTCCTGTTGGCTACAACAGTTTTCAAGGCTAATTCTTCATCTACAATACAACATGGATATGGTATTCAACTCTTTATTAATTTAACATTAATAATAACAATAATAATAATAATAATAATAATAATAATAATAATAATAATAATAATAATAGAAATAATATTTGCAGGAGATTTGAACGTCAGAGTTGGAAGAGACAAGAACAATATTGTGGGTCAACATGGTGAGGAAACTTGCAATGACATTGGAAAAAGACTTATTAATATTTGTGAAGAGTATGAAATGAAAATTAATAACACTTTCTTCCAACATAAAGATATTCATAAGTATACCTGGTACCAACATACAAAAAAACTAAAATCTATAATAGACCTCTGTGTAACTAAGCAAAAAACTTCACTCATAGTCCAAGATGTTAGAGTGAAACTGGGAGCCCAATGTAGTGATCATTGTTTGGTAATTGCTAAAATATTAATACCATTTACATTGACTAGCACAGATATAGAAAATAAGGAGGGATTTGTCATGAAACCTACCAAATACAAACTAAGCAATCTTTTCGATGAAAGTACAGCATATCTCCACAGAAAAAGGCTTGAAACTAAACTATTGGTTAAACACAGGCCAATAGAAAAAGAATATGAACACTTAAAAAAGTGTATTCACCAAGCCGCAGAGGTGCTTGTAAATTAAAACCGAAATAGTATTGGTGGGACACAAGTCTAGAAGAAAAGATTAAGAGGAAAAGAGAACTGTATTTAAAATGGCTTAGTGACAAAAAAACTGAAACTAATTTACAGTACAAAGCAATAAGTAGAGAAGTAAAACAAGAAGTATTATCAAGGAAGAATAAATTATGGCTGGATAAATGCGATTATATAGAACAATTCATAGGTGGAACACGGAGCACAGAAGCCTGGAAAGTAATTAAATCTATTAAATCGAATGAGAGAAACAATATCGCATTATCAAACATTGGAATCAATAAATGGAAAGAGTATTTCGGAAGACTGCTTCTAGAAAATAGAAACTTCCAAACACACAAGGAAGTAAAATTTGATCAAAGGGTACATCTGACAATTAAAGATTTAGAAAAAGCATTTAAGACAATGAAATCCAATAAGTCACCTGGTCCGGAGAATATACCAGCAGAATTACTGAAATATGGTCCCTATAAACTGCACCAAATGCTCAAACACACGTTTTTAAGGTGCATGAATGGAGAAAATCCTCCTCAGGATTGGCGAACGTCTTACCTAACACCAATCCATAAGAAAGGATCTAGAGACAATGAAACAAACTACAGAGGAATAGCAGTTACGGGATCTATAGGTAGACTGTGTAGCAAAATAACACAAAATAAAATAGAAGAAGAGATAAAAGGAAAAATAGGCAAGGAACAATGTGGCTTTACTGCCGGCAGGTCGGTCATAGACAATATATTTACATTAAAACAACTTATAGGAAAGAGAACACGGAGAGGTAGGGAAGTTCATCTGGGTTTCATTGATCTTCAGAAGGCGTATGACAATGTACCGGTTGCTAGAGTATGGGAAGAAATGGATGGACTTCAAATCAGTGAAAACTTAATTGGAGCCACACACAATCTATATAAGAATAACACCTCTCAGATTAAGAGCAGGACTTAATATTAATATGGACAAATTTGAATACCTGGCAGTTGGTAAAAATGAAATAGAAGATCTTCTTGTGGAAAATGGACAAAAAATGAAAGGGGTAAACAAATATAAATACCTTGGTGTACTTTTTAACAATAAGGGAAATAGCCATGACGAAATTGAGAGACGAATAAGCTTGGGGAGAAACGTGACACAAAGTATAAACACTGTCTTATGGAACAAAACCATCACTAACACCACTAAAAGACGTCTTCACTCCTCGCTAGTTAAGAGTGTAACAACATACGGTTCAGAAGTTTGGGAGATCGATAAAAGAACAAAAGGGAAGCTGTTGGCCCTTGAAATGGACTACTGGTGTAGAAGCTGCTGTTATAGCAGACGTTACAGAATCAGGAACGATGACATAAGAAAGAAAATGGATGTCAAGTAATCTATCCTTGACAAAATAGAGAAAAAACAAATCGTCTGGTACGGTCATGTTATGCGAATGACAGACGAATGAAAACGAGTCCTGAAATGGGTGCCGACAGAAAGACAGAAGAGAGGAAGACCCAGACTTGCATGGCAGCAGGCAGTGCAAGAGGCTATGATGGCAAGAGAAATGCCAGATGATCTATGGTCCAATAGAGACGCATGGAGACTGAGAGCGGAGAAACGGCGACAGCTGTAGAGCTACTCCGTACTATATATATATGTATAATAATAATAATAATAATAATAATAATAATAATAATAATAATAATAATAATAATAATAAATAAAAAAACCACATGTCCGTATGTAGGAGAAGTACTGCAGTTATGTTTCAAACTTTTACGACTACAATAGATGGTAATTTTGAAGTCTATAACTTAGTTTAAAATTTGTTCATCATTGTTTCCCAATATAGGATGGTTTCTCATTACAGCAAACATGTAATAATGTAATTTTTGACACATATACTCAGTATTTTTTTGAAGATATGCAGCAGCATATGCCACTTGCATGATGATAATCAAAAACACATCAATCACAAGAATTCTAAGTATTACTTTGCTTCTGATCTCCTAGGTACACAAAGTTGACAATAGCAACAGGTAAGTAAAGTAAACTGTTCCAGATGTACTGCATAACGCATTCTATACAACACAAAACATATTGGTGGGATCCAACACTAGAAAATGTACTGTACATTTTGTTTTAAGCTGTTCTCCTATCATCTAAAATTTTAGAATCAACCAATTTCTTACAAATGTCCTGATAATTTTCCAATAACAATGAATTTATAATTACCTTGGAATGAGAGACTTTGCTTCCTCTGGGGTTTCGGGACACAGATTGGCAAGTGAAGCAAGTTCAAATTTGTGTAATTTCTTTTGCATCAACAAACTGGAATCAATTGACAAAGGGAAAAAAATTCATACAGCACAGTTCATCGAGTTTATTATAATTTTACATATATTTCTTCTGCCACCTACACACAAGGATTTGAAATTATATTTAACTGTAAAAATATTGTCATTTTCACAAAAACTAAATCAAATAATATTCATTGAAACTGAAAACAAATTTTAAATTGCCAACAAGTTGATAACACATACTTTCAACTAGTAAATAACAAAAGATTTTTTTAAAACAAAGAAATATATACATGATCCACAATACTTTATGCAAACAAACTGGAGAAGAACATTAATTACAAGGCAGACAAATCATAAGATACCTTTGTTCTCACCTGCATTTAAAAAAATGTAAATCAAATATAAATGTTTATATACAATACTTACTTTCGAACTGCAGAGATGGTCTCCTTGTTCTTGAACTTGCGAAACCGATTAGTGTAAGTTAAAGTTTTCATGAAGACATCTGAAAATTCCTGTTCCTCTTCAGCACTTTCATTCTGAGCTTTTCGATGTTCCAACAACATGTGGACTTCAGAGATAAGCAAGGTCTCTGCATTCTCAAACTCTGAGATAAAATACAATAAAATGGTATTCTATCACAAGTATCACAGTGGTTGCAATAACAATAATCAGATGTAGAAAAACATGTTTCTGTGTAAGGCACCTTTCTGTTAAACTGCTATCAAATATTTTTTCATTTATCCAAATAATTTAAGGATTAATTAAACCCTCTTTTATCAAAAAGTCATATAGTTTTCTAGTCTTATTGACATCGATTTTTATTAAAGTTCTTGCTTGAGCAAGTTTTAAGCTTCCATTTCGCCTACATTCACTCACTAAAACGTTCTTAAACACCAAATATGATTCAGGAATAATTCTTGCAACAGAACACAATTCACGCTCAGCTGCATTCAAACGCTCATACATTGGCAGACCAACAATATCAAGAGGAGGTGCAGGTCTTCTTGGGTTACTCCCAGACACTGAACTTGTGGTTTGAGATACATTCATAACATTCCGCCAACAATATTCTGGATTTGCTAGAAACAATTTGCGTTCCTTAATGTGATCCATTCGATTCTTAAGTAATTTATAGTAAAGTTTGGCACTGAAAAAATTGGTTATACCATTTTCACGCAGTTCAAATAATCGTAATATTCTTTGGCGCAGATCAGCTGAATGTTTAAGACTTTCCATAATATAGTCTAAATCCATACCACTTAACAATTGAGCAAATGGAAGAAGTTTCTCAACCACATGTCGAGTGAGATTTTGTTCATAATACTGCTGCCACGCAGTAGTCTTTCGCATCATTATAAGTCCATGATTCCTAATAACTTTCTTTCGACGGGCCCTTTCTTTTAATCTTTCATTATACCTAGACAATACAGCTACTTGCAATGCCTGACCAAGTTCTTGATAGTCATCAGCTTCTCTAAATGTATCTAACTCTAGTTCACAAATATCATCTTCTGCATATTGGTCATACTCTGTTTCAAATTCACTTCGCCCAGCATTGTAACCAGCTAAAGATTTGTATCTCGGCGAGTCCACTTCATACCTTGGTGGCTCATCAATTTCGTTTCCATTACTACCAAAATATGGGATTGGAGGTTTTTGTTCAATAGTAGGCATTTTTCTAAACACTGGAAGTTCAGGTATCAATTGATTGTCTACATAATATTGCATGTAATGTCTTTCACAGTCATCTGAGGAACGGGTTCTAACACGGCGAGCCACATCTGGCCAGTTCCCAAAACCACATTCTTCTATAGCATTCAATAAAACTATTTCTTCTTTAGCTGACCACATACTTCCTTCAAAAATAGAAAATTCGTTTCTAATGACAATGTAATCATGGTCGTTGGTATGTAGCCCCCACTCAGCACCAGAAGAAAAACAAGCTGAACAAATGTTCATGTCAACACATTCTGCACATTTGATATACGGCTCCTTCAATACATTACCACAAATAATGCATAGTTTCGTTGCTGAAGCCTTGTTTTGGTGTGTCATCTCACCCATGTCTGCAAGCAGAAGGTGACAATAAGAAGTCAAAAGACGCACATGAACTGACACGTGTATTTTAGTTCTTCATTCAACCGACAAGGACACAATCACAATCTTATTTTTGCATTTAATACGGTGACAATTCGAAAGGTACCTCATAAACATGTTTTTTACAACTGTAATCCTACTTAACAATCAACTAAACCTAACCTCATAACCAAAATTCATAACACAATAACATACAATACAAAATTCAATTCGATTTTTTCCCAAATTGGAAATAATTCATTGATATTAAATATTAACATCAATTAAAAATTACCTTTAGGAAACTGTAAATCAGCTGCATCTTCTTCAACAACTTCAGTTTCGCGCACATTAGCCATATTCACGCCGGTTTGGTCAAATGTCTCTTATAACCGCTTTTAATTTGAAGACCAATAAAGCACTTGCTTATAGACTTTCTTAGGCATCATGTAGCGCGTCATTCAAACTACAAAGTGGTGCGACGCACTATTTTTAATTTGCAATTTTCGAAAATTCAGAGAGTTGAACGGAAATAAGTCTTGCGCCATTCTTTCAAGCGTTCTTTATTCTATCTGTGGACACAAATGAAGAAAAAATTTGGACTGTTTTTTGAGACGATGTTTTTTAAAAATTATTTTTATAAATTTCAAGCAAAAATTACAGAAAAACGACTATTTTTTTTCAAAGAAACTTTTCATAACTTCTTTTGAAGAGTTGAATTTTACTTTCTCGCCTTAAGAAGGAACAGTTATGGAATACTGCGGGAAAAACCAGCCAATTTTCGGCTTAAAAACTCTTATTGCCGGGCCCTGATAACGAAAAAGTGGATAAATTCAGTTGCTAAATTTAGAGAAAACAAACTTCTTCCTACAAATACAAGCATGAAGATATATATTTTCTCTTAATAAATTTTGTTCCTTAAAAATAGATTTTGAAATATAATAATGTACGAATTTTTGAATTTTTGACTATTTTTCGCGTAATTTTACGTGAAATATAGGTAATTTTTAATTTTATTTAAACATTTTTTTCTGAAAAAAGTTTCCAACGCTTTTTAATAATTTTTGGTGTTGGAATAACTGAAGGACGATTAAGAGAATGATGCAGGTGTCGGTTTTGTTTCATTATTGTTCCCGGAAGCGTCATCTGCTGAGGACATAAATCCCGTCAGTGTAGTGGATGTCACGTCACGGAAATGTGTCGTTGTTCCTCTCTGGTTCAAATGTGAGATCGGTGCTAATCATAACGTTGGTTTGCGGTGGTTTCTTCCCACCTGATATCTCCACCATCGGGGCATGGCCCCTGGTGGTCGATACATCTTTAATCTCTCGATAGGACTGTGGGGGCGCATGTGTCTGTGATGGAAGGGATGGGGACAAGGACGAGAAAGAAAGTGCACGTGGTCAGTGGCCCGATTATTATGGCACTTCCGTCATTCGTCTTATAATGATCGGCGAAATCACGGAAAATTACCGATCAGAACAGCAGGCCGGTAGAATTCTCTATCGGTGATAGAATATGACCCAGCTACGTAGCTAGAGAAGTAATTTTGACACCGTTAGACTCCAATCCTAGAACCTCTCGATCAGTGATACTACAGAAGCAACGCCGTTGTCGCTGCGACATCACGATCAACATGTGTACAAGTAACACGAGGCGACCCCTCCCCCGGCTATTTGAGTAGAGATGGGGCTGCTGAGGGCACTGGCGACGCTGACAGCCGCCCGCTGCCTCTCAAAGCGGTCGCGGCGCGGCGCGGCGTGGCGCGAACGGTCACCGAGCCTCGGGGCCGGGCCAGGCATTGCGCGGTGATGGCTATCGGCGCCGCGGGGGCCTCTGCACCACTTACGAGCAGCCGTTCGCGCACCGGTGCGCGGGGGCGGCCGCCCTCGATTTGCGTCGCCGTGGACACGGCGTCTCTGAAACAGCGAAGCGCGAGAGCGAAGCAAGAGATGGAGGGTGATCTGCCGAACAATAGCGTGGGTGGATCAAGAGCACTTCTAGCCATGTGAAAGAGATTTAGGGCCAGTTTCATAAAGCTTTCCACGTGGGTTCAATAAAATATATAGGTTCCATATGCCGAACACCGTTCCATTAAGCAAATGTATGGAATCTACAACTATCGATTCTATGAGAACTTCGAGATGAAACTATGTAGCGACACAACCGATAATGGAATACTGTTTATTCTTTGTTTCGATTTGCAGGTTCTTAACGTGTGCGGTGCTCAGGTGAGGTGTGCTTGGTTGTGTTTCTCTATACGTTCTCAGTAGCAATTTGATTTTATTTAATTATATTCATTTAATTTTATTTTATTTTTTATTTAATTATTTCATATTATATACTTTTTATATTAGCCATAATTCTTTATAGTAGCCATTGCCTATTAGTATTTAAATAAATTCATTTACTTTCCATTCTTAATTTTAAATATTAAATTTTGCTGAATCAATTTTTAATAATAATAATAATAATAATAATAATAATAATAATAATAATAATAATAATAATAATAATAAAAGGTTACTGAAATCTCTTTGAAAAAGAAGTGATAAGTAATTTTCTAAACAATTAAATAGTACACTTTGACAGAAGAAGCGTCCAGATGTTAAGGCATTTTATTTGCCAAATAAAGGCCGGCAATAAAATATGACATGCGTTTTATAATTTAAGTCAAATAATTTAAATTATTCCAATTTCATTTGTAATACTGCTATTAATACTGTCACTTAAGAATTTTTTTCTTCGTTGGTTTATCATTAACTTTCGTAATCTTCATTGGTTAACTATTGAAAAGAAATATTTTCACAAATGAAAATTATTATTTATGGCAAACCGAATTTCAGCACTATGACTTCAAATTTGATTCACTGATAATTCTACAAAATTTTTTGTGGGCTGAACTATTATCTTAAGAATACTTTAATTATTTTATAACTGATAAACTATTGTTTTTATTCATTGCACTCATTTATTCACCAGAACATAATAGAATTGGGCCATATTGTATCATGTACAAAGGCAGTCGCGGCTCATTGTTTTCTAAATGGTAAACGCCGCAAATGCATTACATTACATTGCATTGCGTTGCTTTGCATTTTGTGAAAACTAGTTGATGCCCAATGCTACTTGCTTAACTTCATGCTATATAATGCTATCTGGTGAGCGCACCCTTCTTCAGACCCTAGGCCTCACCCTTGAAGGCTGCAGCCTTCGTCCGTCGGTAAGCCTGTGCAGTGAATGCATGAAGTCACGCCTACTCGTTTTACACAGGCCTCACGGCGGAATGAAGTGGGATCCTAACGCTTTTCTCTTCACTGTCAACAGCTTCAAATGCCTTACGAACTGCAGTTAACGAACTGAAGGACAAAGTTTTTGATATGATTGTTACACAATATAACTCAGAAAACCATTATTCCACGAAAGAACCACAAAATACCTTCTTCCATACATTTTGTGCCATAACTAATTTGCTATATTCGTGCATTAAATGTATTGACTCAACAAGAATAAATTATCAGGCACGCATGCCTCTGTATACCACTGCATCTACGTATTGTCATAACGAAATCATCTGTTACTTATCTCACTTCGACAAACTATTTTAGAGATAATACCATCTGCGCAGTTACATTCATTGCTGTGGACACATTAACAAGTAACAAAAAATAACTTTTATTTTGTATTCATGTATTTATTCATTTTCTGAAGACGTAAGTAAATGAATCAATACTTACTTACTTTATTCATTCATTCATTCATTCATTCATTCATGCATGCATGCATTCATTTATTTTTCATTCATTCATTCATTTATTCATTCATTCATTCATTCATTTATGCATTTATTTATTTATTTATTTATTTATTTATTTATTTATTTATTTATTTATTTATTTATTTATTTTTAATTATTTTTTACTTATTGTTTTTTAATTATTTTTTACTTAAATGGGCGTGCCTGCCAAAGTACTCCTCCCCACCAGGAAGCGCTTGGGCGCGGGGCGCCGCCCGCCGAGCAGAGGAACCACCCGTGCAGTGGGCCACCCGGAGGTGGGGGCGGGCGTGACGGCGCAAGTGGGGCGGCGGGCAGAGGCGATGTGGGCAACGGGGCCGACGAAAGTGTCATTGTTCGGCGACCGCGTGCCGCGGCGCTGCGCCCCCGCCCGCAATCCGGACGCCGCAGTGCTCCCCACCCATCGCACGCCCCGAAATGGAGCGATCCGACCCTGACTAGTGCAATGCCTCAATGGACAGGATTTCGGGCCTACTAAAAACAATTGTCGATAACAAATGCGTTCGATTCACAGAACGACATCAGCGGTCGCGGGCTTCGTTACCTAAAGGTGAACCACCAACTGTGTTCGCTGCGCTTCCAGAAGTTTGGATGAAAATCACCTTGGAAACGCGCGATCTACTACAGTTCTGTAATACCCCGACGTAATCTGTGACGAACCATTTATGTGACGACATTTCCAAACTATTGGCCAAAATATATGTACTCTGCCACTTTAATACTTCGAGCATTCCAAGAGAAAAGAATTTACCTTCAACAAGTTCTTCACTGCATCACATACCATTCCTACTCTCCCAACTCGCTTACCACACTTCCTGTACCTACGTCATGAGCGACATATGTATAATATACATGTATCTGGCTTTCAAAATGGAAAAACATACGATTGGTTGACTGTTGACATACGATTGAGTGCTTCTGGGCGCATCAAATACTAAAGAGCCATTAGTCTCGTAAGTGTAGTGCATGTTTTTCATCGGGAGGTGACTATGATCTTCTCTCGCTGGATGGCGAGATCTGGCGTCGACCTTCTGTCGGCTAGCGGGGCACCTCCCCAACCAGGTATCTCCCACTAGGCGGGGCACTGCCCCAACCGGGACAAGATCTATGCTTCAGGCATATATGACTGTGTAGAGCATGTAAGTGTAAATGTGTAAGTAAGGAGTGAGGATAGGACGAGGAAGAAGAAGGAAAGTTAGCGCGCCGCCTGTGTTCCAATAGTTAGGGTACTGTGACGGTACAATCGGAAGCATCCCAACAGATATTAACTAACTGCACAAAATAGCAGGAATTGACATATTTTAGTAAATAAACAAACAGTCGAAGGTTAAATGGTGGAGGTGTAAGGTGTTACACTAGGTGTTACTGTGAGAAGTAACTGAGTAAACAAAGAACATTCAGAGAATAAATAAACAATCGCACGAACCCCATGTTATTTTCGAACAATGAAAACCTTTAATTCAATAAATGCTCGTATCTTGGGCAAAGACAATTGAATGTGTTTTACACATGATGGGTGATTACAAAAAAGTTCTAAATATAACAAGATTATAAATTTGGAAAAGGGAAAATTAATTAATATAAATATTTAGAATTTAAATTAGAAATTATTGCAACGAAGAAATATGAAGACATTTGTAAAATGGAAAGTAGAAAGGTACAGCGAGCTTGACAAAGAGAAGAGCTCTCGTTTGTTTCAAACTGGGCAGTGAGGAAGGGGCAATGCAACAGTGCATTTGAACAGACGAGTTTATGATTTTGGACTGGCAACATCGAACCCG